TGCCCAGGAACGGAGTTCTGGGAACTCGAAGAACACGAAGTGGCCTACAGTTGGCTCCGGGCATTCAAAATCATGCCCAAGAATAGAATTCTGGGAACTCGAAGACCACGAGGTGGCTTACAGTTGGCTCCGGGCATTCAAAATCATGCCCAAGAATGGAGTTCTGGGAACTCGAAGACCACGAAGTGGCCTACACTTGGTTCCGGGCATTCAAAATCATGCCCAAGAATGGAGTTCTGGGAATTCGAAGACCACGAAGTGCGCTACTGTTTGCTAGAAAACGAATCCCCGGTTTTCCGCGGCACCCGCCTGGATCCCGCCCAGACCCCCCTGGGGAGTCGTAAGTTTTTGGGGCCCTACTAGAAAACTATTAATCTTCGCTGTTAGGTAGCTATACTATGTTTGCGAGAGCGCGCCGCTGGATAACCCCAAGGGGAAGGGGGAATTGGGACCCTCTCCCATTCCCCGATCTGTCGTCGGGAACCCCCCACCCCCCCCTTTCCCGGTCCGTCGTCGGGGAACCCCCCTCCGTCCCCCCCTTTCAAAACGGGAGGGCTCCGACCCCCCCCCCCTCCCCCCTCTGGCCGCCAAATTCGAACCGCCCCTGCCCGCCCTCCCTTTCGCCATGGCGCCCCCAGTTTCCGGAACCCGACCCCTGCCACACCCCTAACCCTAACCCCAAGCCCAAACCCGAGCCCCAAACAGTATTCACTGCTCATTGCCATTACTCACTACCCACAGTTCACTACTCGCTACTCACTACTCACTTCTCACTACTCATTACTCACGATTCACTGCTCACTACCCACGACTCACTACCCACGACGCACTACTCACTACTCCCTAGTCCCTACTCACTACTCACTACTCACTACAAACTACTCCCTACTCACTACCCACTACTCCATACTCACGACTCACTAAACACAACTCACTACCCACTACTCACTAATCATAATTCACTACTCACTACTCACTACCCACTAACCACTATCCATTACTCACTACCCACACCTTACTACTCACCACTCACTGCCCGCAACTCACTATTCGCTGACCACTACTCGCTACTCGCTACTCCATACTCCCTACACATTACTCACTACTCATTACTCACTACTCACGACTCACTACGCCCTACTCGCTACCAAAAACGCACTATTCACTACCATCTACTCACTACTCACTACTCACTACGCTCCCACTACTCACTACGCGCTACTACCTACCCCCTACTCACTACTCCCAACTCACTGCTCACTACTCACTACTCACTACTCACTACTCCCTACTCACTACTCACAACTCACTACTCACTACTCACTACCCACTACTCGCTACTCCCTACCCTCTACGCACTACTCACTACTCACTACTCATTAGTGACTCCTGACTACTCCCTCCTCACTACTCACTAATCACAGCGCCGTACTCGCTGCTCACTACTCATTACTCGCTGACCCCCAACTCGCAACTCCCTACTCGCTACTCGCTACTCACCACTCACTACTCACTACCCACTACTCTCTACTCACTGCGCACTACTCACTACTCACTACTCACTCCTGGCTATTCGCTACTGTCTACTCCCTCATCCCTATTCCCTGCTTACTACTCACTATGCTCTACTCACTACACACTATTCATTCCTCCCGACTCACTACTCACAACTCCTTACTCACAACTTCCTTCCCACTACTCACTACCCACTACGCACTACTCACTCCTCACTAATCTCTACGCGCTAATCACTACTACCACTACCCATTTCCCACGACTCACTACTCACCACTCACTGCGCACTACTCACTATCAAATACCCACTACTCACCAATCGCTACTCAAAACACTCTACTCCCTACTCACTACCCGAAAGGCCCCCTCCCCAGCCCCCTGTTCGGCGCAAAGGGGGAAAGGGGGGGGGTCGAACCCCCACACTTTTCCAACGCCAACGGGGGGAGAGGGGGGGGTCCAGAACCCCCCCCCCCCTTCAAGGGGGAGGGGGTGCGGGGGGGTTCGGACCCCCCCCCGGGGACCCCCCCCCCGGGGGGGGGGGGTCGAAAAACTCACCCCCCTTTGAAAGGAGGGAGGGGGGGGGTTCTGCGAGCACACCCCCTCTTGTGTGTATTCAGGGCCATCCACTGTCGCGTTTTGTATGTTTTTGATTTGTTTTGCATACTCCTCCTGTAGAGGGGCACGCCCGACGTAGACCTCGCCCTCCTCCCCCCGATGAGTCACACGGGGTACCTAAGCTGCTGGGCGGGCGCACACGCCCTCGCCGATGCGGGCCCCCTGGCGGAAGGCCACGCGCCAGACGTTGAACAGGGCCTGCGCCACCGCGGGGGCCGCCCGCCCCAGGGGGTCTCGTGCCGAGGCGCCGAGGTGGGGGGGGGAGGGGCCAGGAGGAGGGAGGGGAGGGGAAGGGAGGGGCGGGGGAAAGGTGAGGGGGAGGAAGGAGGAGGAGGAGGAGGAGGAGGAGGAGGAGGGGGAGGAGGAGGAGGAGGAGGAAAAGGAGGAGGAGGAGGAGGAGGAGGAGGGGGGTGGAAGGTGGAGGAAGGAGGAGGAGGATGTCAGATGTCAGACGTCGGACGTCCGACGTCTGATGCCGGATGCCGGATGGGGCGAGGTCCTCGCGTGGTGGCCACGTCCTCGGGTGAAAGAGGAGGAGGAGGAGGACGAGTGCAAACCCAAGACGCATCCACGATGTTGAAGTAAACCCTCCCTCCAAGTTCCCTCTTCATAGGGCCCCATTGAAAGACAACAGTCTGAGAATCCACAACCGTGCCAAAGAGCAACTCCTGGGAGTTCAACGTCGCGAATCAACATGACTCATCCTTTTTCGTGCCAGAACACATTTCCTGGGACTTCGGCCATGCGAACCCTTGAAATTGTTGCAAACTTGCACAACGAATGCGCGCGGCGCTGGGGCGAGAGCCACAGTTTGAGAAAGAAAAACCCTTCATCCTTGACACTGCTGCAAACATTGAAAACGAATGCGCACGGCGCTATCGCAAGAAAAACAGTTTGAAAACCGCCCATCCTCAATAATTGAGGCTGCTGCAAAAGTTTAAGACGTGCGCGCGCGGCGCAAGCGAGAGGCCCATTTTGAAAAACGACCCGTCCTCCATCCTTGAATATGCTGCACATTTCAAACTTCAAGATGATATATGGGGAAGGGGGTCTCAGACGAAATTCCCGGCCCGCCTTAATGGTATGTGTAGGGCGCGACAGGGAGTTATCTATTAGGAATGAGGACGGAGGAGGCGAAGAGGAGGAGGAGGAGGAAGAGGAGGAAGTGAAGGTTCTACACGCCCACCTTGGTGGCGACAGAAGCGGGCAGCTCGCTCAATGCCGGCTGGTTCTGGGCAACGGGTGGCGTTCGCACTTGAGCTAATCTCAGGGAGGGTGAGGGAAGAGAAGGAGGGGAGGGAGCAGTCGTCAAGCACGTGGCCTCTCAGGCGCTCTCGAGCCATCCATCTCAGAGCAAACTGGGGCCCTTTTGGGGGGCTCTCTTGTGCTGTCTTGACGCGGATTGGGGTCGTTGTTGGGCTCTCTCGGACCGTCTTGGATCGCACGTTGGGCGGTTATTGGGGCCTCGTGGGCGGCCCTGCAGCCCTCCCAAGCACTTTTGAAGCCACAGTGGGCACGAAGGTGGAACAGCCCGAGGAAACGTTGGAAAACTAAGCGGGTGGGGTGGGGCCTCTCAGGGTGGGGCCCTGGGAGGCCAATCCGGTTCGCCTCGTGGGCGGTCCGCGGGCTGCTGTCTCGGAGCGTTCCGAGGCGGTCTCGCGGACACTGATGCCGAGGGATGGCCACCGCCTGTGACGGCGGATCGGGGAAGAAAAATCATCATCACCATGAGCTCTCGAAAGTCCGCACAGCCCACACTTCGCGCGAACACGCGATTCTGGCGATCCCTCTGCCCGGGAGGATGCACGTGTGACAAAACACGCCTCCCCACGTCTCCCTCCTCTCTCCTCCCTCGTCTCTCCTCTCTCCTCTCTCCTCTCTCCTCTCCCTCTCCCTCTCCCTCTCCTCCTCCTCCTCCTCCTCCTCCTCCTCCTCCTCCTCCTCCTCCTCCTCCTCCTCCTCCTCCCTCCTCCTCCTCCTCCTCCTCCTCCTCCTCCTCCTCCTCCTCCTCCTCCTCCTCCTCCTCCTCCTCCTCCTCCTCCTCCTCCTCCTCCTCCTCCTCCTCCCCTCCTCCTCCTCCTCCTCCTCCTCCTCCTCCTCCTCCTCCTCCTCCTCCTCCTCCTCCTATGAGCTTATCAAAGCCCACGAAGTCTTTGATGGCAATGAATATAACACTGATGATGAAAGAGAATATCATTCTCACATCGCGCTCGGTCTGACTCAAGGGCCCTGCCGCAATCCAGGGCCGAAACGGTTGCGGGCTCGTGCTATACAACACACACGCACGAGCATGCACACTAGATGTACAGCGTATATCTCACACCCGTGAGAGTGTGAAAAGCACATGAAACAGAAAGAAGCCTTCTTTCAATCTGAAACATAACAAATCCAAATAAACATACCTGAGAAAATCCAGATTAACATTCCTAAGATGCATTAGCAATAAACATACTGATAATCATAGTTATAATGAGTGAGACCGTGTAACTAATTTCGCGCTGAAGAAACAGTGCCGATACGTCGCACTGCACATGAATAGATCTCCAAACCGACATCCACTATCACAAAAAGATTTCCAAACGAAATCCACCATCGTAAACTCTCGGGCGGCGAGCAATGCAAGCCGCAAAACAGAGAAAGAATAGTATTGAATGCCAACCTCACTTGTGAATCCGAAAACCTTCTGTCAACTCTGGCTCGGTCGTCGCCTCGCCTGCTCTGCGAAACCCTTGGGTCTGATGCTGAAACCTCCAAACGTCTCCGCTGAGCTTGTATGTAGTCATGCTCTGCGTTCCCACCGTCCTGGCCGCATATGGGTCGTTCGATGATACGCCTTGTTCGTCGCTTGATTGTCCTTTTGGTTCTCTCTCCTTCTCGATCTTCTCCTTCTCGATCTTCGCCCGTAGAACTGCTAACTCAGTCTTGTATTTGTACTCGGCCTCCCTGATCTTGATCAGGTAGGATGCAACTGGGTAGGCTCCACAGAATCCAAGACATAAGAAACACATGGCAAACCAAACCAAAATACCATAGCCGTTGTTCTCGTTCTTCGTGTCGTACTCCGTGTGAGCCGCCGATCTGCAACAGCTGGTTGCGAATACTTCCAACTGCATGAACGGTGTAGTTGCCTTCCGCGTTGCCGCCGATGTCACCGGCCTTGTCTGGTCGATACTCTCCTGTCGCTCTTCCTTGGTCTTCTTCTTTGCCGCCGTGTAGTTCGGGTCATGCTTGAGCTGTAGCCTGCCATATCGTAGACGGTCGGCGAAGAACTGTCTCGCCGCGATCTTCGCGAGCCCGTCCGCGTATTGCCTTTCTGAAGACACCCACCTCCAGCGCGTCATTGTAGCCTCCATCCTCTCACGTAGCGCTAGCACCTCGATGCCGGTCCGCTTGTCCTGGAAGCTGGTGATGCTCTCCTTTTGGGCCGCGTCGTAGAGCCCCTTTGCGTCCACGGCCAATGCTGACTCACCCGCCATGCGGGTGCTTTCATCCTTCGTGATGTCCACGCCGTCGTAGATCAGGGCTGCCCAGAATCGCTTCGCAAATTCCAAGCCATCCATGCCCGCTGCTGCTGCCTGTGACTCCGCATGTAGAGAGGAACGTGCCATGCGTAGTAGCTTGAAGGACTTCCAATCGATCACACTAAAGTCGGACTCGTGTCCGTCGAGTATCTTCTTGTGGTATGCCAAGAGGACGTAGCCACCTTGACGAGACCCGCCCTGACGAACTCCCCGGGCTGCGTCCGTCATTGCTACGAACACCACGTCGCTTACCTGGCCGATCTTCTTCATCTTGAGCCCGACGTCCGAGTGCTGCTTGTAGAACCGCAGAGTCTTGTTCGCCTCTTTGGCCGTGCCCACTGTCGCCGTAAGTCGCTGCCCTTGGTGAATGCTAACCGAAGCCGAAAGATGGGGACAATCTTGAGAGCTTGGCCACTGCAGAGCTCCGAGTAGACCACGTAGCTGCCGCTTCTCCTTGATAGTGAACTCCCTCGTGTTGTCGCTGCTATTCTGGTCGATCGTGATGGGCTTCAGGTTCTTGGCGTAGGTCGCCATCTTCACTTCAATCTCGCTGCTGTCCGACTTCGGGTTCTCCCAGTGCGGGGTCTGCGTCAAGTCGCTGCCGCGGTAATCCATCTTGTCGTCGTCGTTCCACTTCCTGAACTTGAACCTTCGTTTTACCTCGGTGATAGCTCGACTATAGTTACTGCCCGGCCGCCGATCTCCACCTCACAGCATGTCGTCCACATAAAGTAGAATGAACCCGTCATTATTGCCGTCCTCATCGAAACTGAGAAACGCGCAGGGGTCAAAAAAATGCTGCTTGAGACCACTGGCCTTTAAGTCGTCCACCGCACGTAGCCACCAACGCCTTGGTGCGTCCACCTGGCCGTACATTGGCCCGATGAGCTTCATAAGAGTATTCGGCTCGATGCCCATGAGTTCTGCCGCGTCTTTGGGCACCTTCGCATACAACTCGCGCTCTTGGGGTCGTCCGTGAAGAAGGGCAGTAGCTACATCTGCTGTCCATAGTCTCCAGCCGTTGTTGGCCGCCAGTAGTAGCGCCATCTGTCTTGCCAGTCTCGAGGCTGTAGGTGATGCCGTCGGTGCCGCGCCACTGAGCGCGAGGGGGTCGTTGAAACCTTGTAGTACCAGCCGCGCCTTGGCACTTGGCGTGCCGTCGTCGTTCTTTGTCCACTTGAGCACCCACTTCGCCTTGAGTATCCGCCGAGGGCCCCCCTCCCCGGTGGGCTTGTGAAATTCCCAGACGTCATTGCCGAAGAACTCCGTCAGCTCCTTCTGCTTGCCCTGAATGAATGCCGCGCGCTCGTGGGGCGTCATGTTCCTCGTGCTGATGCCCGCGAAGATGTCGCTGAGCTTTGCATCCGTGCCGTTGAACCCCCAGCCGAATGGCAAATCCTGACGGGTGACCATAAGCTTTAGAGCTGCAAATTCGTCGTCAGCATCGTCGAGGTCCGGCACTGGTACCGCGCTGCTCAGTCCAGGGTCGGGTAGAGTGCCTCTGAAGACTCCGCCTCCAGGTCTGGTGAATATCGCCGTCTCCGCTTTGTCCATTCTGAGCCGCTCTTTCTGAAGATTTGACATAGGCCTCGACCGCGTCTGTGTCGATCCGAGCTCCTGCTCCGGTGATGGCGCTGCCACCGCTGATGACGATGAGGCTGCTGGCTGCGCTGTCTGCGTTGGCTGCGCTGTCGGTTGGGCTGCTGGCTGCTCTTGCTCTGGTGGGGGTGTTGTCGGCATCGGCTCCTGGTCTGAGTGACCAGAGTTAGACGTCTGTCGACTGCCGTCAGGTATCAGCACCTCCGCGTCCGGAAGATCCTCCGCTGGAGCTGCCGTAGCTGGTGGTACCTCTGGTGTTGCCGTAGCTGCTGCCGCCGCCGACCCAGATGACGATTCCTCTGTAGGTACCTCCGCCACGGGGGACGCCCTCGAATCAGGACCTCCTCCTCGACGTCGCTTGGATGCTGGACCTTCGTCTCCGTCTCCGTCCTCCGCGTCGTCGTCGACGTCCATGTCCGAGTCGCCCGGCGCGTCGAACTGGGTTTGCTGTGAGCTGATGTCATGGTACTGTGTCACGCCCGTTCTCCGCATGCTGCCCAGTGCATCCTTGGCCTGGGTCAGGTTCTCGAGAAGAACGCACCCTTGATCACTCACGTCTGGCCGAACGTGCTCAGGTGCACACCGTAGTAGCTGCGTGCCGTGAACGATCCAGTAGATGCGTGGTCCACTCTCGTCCCGGCGCATCTCCTTGAACACCGCGACTGCGGGGCCCTTCCACTTGTTCTTGATCAGCTTGTTAGTCTTGCCCTCGCGCCAGTAGTAACACCGCTGGCCGATGGACAGATCGTGCTTGAGCGCCACGTGTCGTCGTAGGAGTGCGCGTCGAAGTTTAGCTGAGGCGTCCGCCTTCATGAAAGCTAACGCCGCCATTGACCTCCTTTCCAGCACGATCTTGAAGTCCTCGCCCCCCTTCATCTGGTACAGGGTCGCTGGCGAGAACTTGTCGCTGGAGTTGGTCATCGTCGTAGTGGGATCCATGCCCAGAACCCACTGGCATGGTGAATACCCTTTTGTGAACGCCAGTCGGTTGACCTGGCGGGGTACATAGATGCACGCCTCGGTGATCAGTTTCTCGTCGAGCACCGTGTTAGCCGTACGCTCAACAGCGTCCTGGCAGTAGAGCTCGATCGCCTCTCGAACCACCTGATGACGTCGCTCCACCACTCCGAGACTCGAGTGAACCTCGCCTGCTGCGATCACAATACTGATACTATGTTGCTCCAGAAACTGCGTGAACTTGTCCGACGCGAAGCCTGAGCCGTCGTCGGTGCGTAGCTCGCCCATGGGACCGAACTGCCTGATCCAGCCGCGCTCGACCGCCTTGATCAGGCCGTCGGCCGTCTCCGTCTTGATTGTCCGTAGGGCACAGTACCTGGTAGCACCGTCCACCATCGACAGGATGGCCGTCTTGCCTGTCACTGTCTTGACCCAGAACACGTCGGTGTAGACGGTCTCGTTGAACTTCGCCGGCTGCTTGGCTGACGCTGTGGGTGCCTTAGGCGGGCGCTGCCGCTGCATACAGTGCTCGCAGCGATACTCAGAAGCGCAGTTGAGCACGTTCTCCTGAGCTCCTGCTTGCTGTAGTAGCCGATGTAGTACCGTCGGGTTGGGATGTCCCATGTTCCGGTGTAGCCGCTTGACGTAGCGCAACGCCTCGGTGCCGTATTTCTCGCGCAGCTGCGAGTGCACGTGGACAACCTCCTCCTTCGCCGTCTCGCCCGTCGAGGTGGGGTTGCTGCCGCTGCAGACGTCTTCGCCGTTGTAGATCTCCTCGACATCGGCCTCCACCATAACTTGTGCCAGGGCGGCTGCCAAGATGAACGGGTAGTCCTCCGTGACCTTCGTGCGCTTGACGCCACTGCCGTCCACGTTGCCCTCCAGTACTGCGTGCTGATGACACCTGTCGCATCGCGTGCTCATGATAGCCGCCATGAGCTTCTTGGTGGTCCTGATGGTGGTGGGCTTCTTGACCGGCTGATCGTCGTTCCCTGGCAGGGTGAAACCGCGCATGCACTGGTCGAAGGTCGCTTTGTAGCCCGGTAGGTTGGACCAGGCTTTGGTCTGCCAAGCCCTCGACGTGGCTGGATGTTCCACGTGAGCATGACGTCCACCTCCACACTGAATGTGGTAGACGTCCGCCACGAATTGCAGGTGTGTCAAATGATGCCAGTCACGTAGCTCAATAAGATACTCCTTCCAACCTGGGTGTTGGTGAATGTTTAGCTCCTGCATGTTGGACCAAGGTCCACACATCGGGGAGAGATGTACTTCGTCTGGCTGTTCTTCGTGTAGCTTGCGCTTGAACCACTCTCGGTGTTCGGCCTTCGCGGAGTCCCAGCCCGCGTGTAGTCCGAACGTCTCGACGTCCGCTCCAAGGTCGCGTAGACTCTGAGATAACCTAGCTTCGCTTGCATAGACCTCCCAGACCTTCCGTCGCGTAGTGCAGCGCTTTGCCGCTGCCCGCAGCATCGTCTGCATGTACTGGTCGCTCGCGTGCTTGATCGCCGAGTCGATCTTCTGAATGAAGTTGGTCGTGACATGCCTCTTGTCGCCATCGTCGCTGATGCACGTGTCCTGATCGGTGAGTTGCGTCGCGTCGCTGTAGGCGTCCGCCAGGCACCAACATGGTTCTGGCAGGTTCGGGTCGACTGGCTGGATCGGCGTCGTTGCAAAGCAAAGGTTGCCGCAGGAAGCATGATTCTGACACCGATGCTGCATCATGTAGTCGCCACAACAGTTGACCTTCACGATTCGTTGCGGGCACCCTTCTGAGTGCGCCCGCTGCGGTGCAACTTCCCATTGTTCCCCGTCGTCGCTGCTGCTATTGTCGACCTTCTAGTTTTCATCTAGAAACTCCAGGCCGCTGATGGTCCTATCGCCGTCCATGAACTCCTTGAAATCGACTGGCTCGTACTCGAAGTCCAGCTGAACGTCCTTCGTCTGGTCGTCCATGTCCTCAAGCAGATCCACCGTGTAATAGCCTTGCGGAGACGTGCGCGCCTCCTCGTAGCTGCCGCCGTTCCACGCCAGCTGCTGATTCGCAAAGTCGACCTGCACTGCAAACTTCTCCAGTAGGGGCCGCGGGAAGAGTATTGGCGTCTTCCCTGGAACTAGGTAGATGTACAGGGGCCCCGTCTTGTTCTTGAAGCTCGCTGGAATGACACCGCACCACAGTGCGTGCTCCACCTTGCCATTGCCGAACCGGAATGGTCTCCGACACGCGTGAAACTCTAGCGTCTCGATCGGGCAGCCCCTGGCGTGGCATGTGGTCAGGTATTCCTTGATGGTCTCCGAAACTGACATAAGCGTAGTCGCGCCGCCGTCCAGGATCGCCAATTGCGCGGGAATGATGCTGGCCGTCTTGCGGTCGCCCCAATAGACTTCGTCAACCATCATCTCTTGATCCATCTGTCCGTGGGGCCGCTTCTTCGGTGGTTCTGGGCAGTCCTTCGCCCAGTGTCCGACTCCGCCGCATCGTAGACAAGTCGCCTTGGATGGTGCTGGCCTCGTAGCTGCCTCCGCCCTCTCCGTGGGTCTTGGCCTCGCATATGGATTGCATGGGCGAGATAGTGCCAAGTGCGGTGAGCACTTCCGTCCTGGGCTACCCTTCTTGCCAGCTCCTCGAGATCGTCCGCGCCCTTTTGCTCCGCCCTTGCTCGGAGGGCGCCTCAGCGCTGCCGATGCTGATGATCCCGTCGCACCTGGTACCATCGCCACTACCGGGTAGTAGCCTCGTGCAAGCTTCAAGTCATTGAAGCGCTTGCGAGCGTCGTGGCAGGCCGCGTAGACCTCGTCGTACTCCGATACGTCGAAATCCTGCATCGTCGCCGTGTCCCGCTGATAGTAGGCCTCCTCGCAGTCGTACCAGCTCTCGTCGCCGTCCTCGGCCCAGTACTCCTGCTCGTAGCCGTCGTCGAACTCTAGTTCGTCGTCTTGGCCATAGTATGCATCTTATTCGTAATGCTCTCCTGTCTCATCGTCCACGTGGTACTGCTTCCGTGCATGATTAGGCTCGTATACTGTGCTCTCCTGCCCGAATGTCGTCTCCAGCGCCTCGATCACTTTGTCCTGTGTGATATCCTTGCCCACGATGGACATGATGACTGCCTTCTGATCTGAACTGTAGCCGCCTCGTCGTAGAATCAGCCATCCTCGGACCTTGGATGGCAGCTCGATGTCGTGCGTCTTGAGATTCCGCTCTGACGCCCGAACTCTTGATATGTAGCTGAACAGGGTCTCTGCTCGATTCCGTCCTAACTTGTGGAAATGCTCCTCAAAGTCGTCTGCCAACTCCGTCCGCGTGTCCATCTTGAATCGCTTCCGTAAGCGTGTGAGCAGCGCCGTCGCCGCGCCTGGCTTGATCAGGTCGTCCGCCGTGAGATCCTCAACTTCGTCCCAGGCTTCACCCGTCAGCCCGGCCGATAACATGAGAGCCGCTTCGCCCTCCTTCTTCTCCAATGTAAGTTCCGCTATGAACATGGTCGCCCGCTTCTCGTACTCCTTCCACCTCGACAGTGTGCCATCGAACTGTGGAACTCCGCGTTCTGGTAGTATTGACTGGTCGTCGGTTCCTCTGCCGCCTGCTTTCGCCATGATGCTAGCCTTTGCTGCGTAGAGGTCGCTGTCGCTGTCGCTGTCGCGGGAGGGGTACTGCTGCTCGTACTCGCCGCTGTCGTTGTTGCTCTGGACCTCGCTGGAGGTCGATTCCGAATCGTAGCTGAGGTCGGGCTCGAAGCTACTCGATATGGTGATGTGGCCGTCGCTGATGACCGAACCACGAGTTATGAAGGGCGCTGACGAGCCTGCCGAGTGATCGACAGGCTCCGCTACCAATATGA